AGCGTGTTTCGAACGAGTATTATCACTCCCCCTGTGTGTCTACTGTGTGAGTCGCAGCGTATCATCTGATACGCCGGGAACATTATTTCCGTATCCTCTATGTCATCAGTTAGGCATGTTTCGGAACACAAAAGTAGATCCGGGTCGGTAAAATCTATAAGTATTTCTAGCTCAACTTTATTAGCCACTAAACTCTGTATATTGAGATATACGTGGGGCATTAACGAAATGCATTATATGAGGACAGGGAAGTTGTTAATTAATTTCATTTTTGATCTCGTCCTACTGTAATGAGAAAGGAAATCTAAAACAAAATCAGCCACAAGGTGGAAACAAACAACATATTCTAAAACACTCGTCATTTATATCCACTTTATTAGTTTTCGCATTGTTTATATCCAATAAAATAAGGATCAATTTAAAAGCCAAACTCTTCAATCAATTCGAGTATGAATGATTCAGTTGGCCTTTTGAATTGACTCAAGCAGTCATCTTGCATAGTATTCCCAGCGGTGGACCAAACCATTTAAAATAACATTAGACACATATATTTCTAATATTCCAATTTATTTATCGTTTCTTCTTAAGAACGCAACACAGTGTGCAATCTTCATTTTTCCCAGGTATACGTATCTAATATATATAATATTCCGCTTAACTGCAACATGTAGCAGGTGTGGGATCCAAACCAGAGCGTTTTGTGATAGATAGCCGGGTGAACTCCTCGGCGGTGGTTGGATGGATACCAACCGTATTTAAGAGAATTTTCATTGTGAGGCCAGACCTGAAAATGTAGTTTCATATAAAAATGCATGTAGATGCATTACAATAGTTAAAAATCTTACTTTACAGCAGCAGCAAAGCCCTGCATAACTTCTCCGGCTACTGGGCCAACGTAATGCAACCCAAGTACTTTTTGGTCACCACTTCTTTGAGCGACAGCTTTAAGATAGCAATACCGAACGCTTTTTTGGGGTATGAAAAATTCCGTTGGCTTGTAGAAACCATGAAACACCTCAATATTGTCTTCGCCAAACTTTTCTAAAGCTGCATCTTCTGACAATCCTACGCAAGCATATTCCAGCGGAGTGAATACAGTTGTAGCGACATTGGCGTAGTCCATCAATTTTGTTGAGTCCGAAAAGAGACGACGAGCTAACAAACGACCAGCATGAATGGCGACAGGAGTTAGTTCTAATTTACCGTGCAATATATCCCCCACCGCATAAATATGCGGAACGTTAGTTTGTTCTGCGTCGTCTGCGATAATTTTATCACCCTTAGTTTCCACTCCAGCTGCATGCAAGTTTAGATCGTCAGTTAAACCTTTGCGACCAACTGCAAAAAGCACTGTGTCAAATGTATCGAATCCTTCCTCTCCACTTTTTGTGTTTGCCCATTTTACTAGCAGACGGCCATCATTTTGTTTTTCAACAGATTTCGGAAGGGTGGTGAACAAAAATTTAACTCCTCGCTCTACCATTGAATCTCTTATAATGCCCGCCATTTGTTGATCAAATTCCCTTAGCACAACAGAACGGACCATTACTGTAGCATCGTAGCCTAGGCCTTTAAGGAAACCCGCACACTCTAATCCAATGTCTGAAAAATATTGTATATACAAAGTTAGAATTTATATATATATATACCTACATATGTACAGCGTGGCGACGAATAACTGTTACCCAGATTTTTTTGAGAAATAAAAGGGTCCTTTATAGATTTTGCGAAAAAAGTATTTTATTGTTAATTTTCCACAGATTTTACTTCAGTTGTATTAATTAGTTTTTAAATTTTAACACTTATTTACATTTGCCAGCAGTGTAAACTTTGAGAGAAAAGTTCATTTGGCACGCATGCCTTCGTCGGTTAATTTAATCCATATCTTCTGTAACCATAAGGTAATTTTCTTCATTTTTAGTCCCTTATACTCCCCCTTTTGTCCAACATAAGGCCTCATACTCAAAAATCGAATAGACTCGGAATTGGTGACTAGGACGGCCATTCATTCGACCAGCCTTATACAGTTTTTTCTTTTTTTGTATTTTTTTTATACAAAGCCTAAGAAAAAATACACCTGAAAAAGACTTGCGTGCCAAATGAACTTTTCTCTCAAAGTTTAAACTGCTGGTAAATGTAAATAAGGATTAAAATTTAATAACTAATTAATACAACTAAAGTAAAATCTGTGGAAAATTAAAAATAAAATACTTTTTTCGCTAAATCTATAAAGGACCCTTTAATTTCTCAAAAAAACTGGGGTAACAGTTATTCGTCGCCACGCTGTATTTACACATTTAGCATATCTTTAAAGCAGACTTACAACCAGCCCCAACTATTAGGGTTTTGCCCGGCTCCCGGTCCAAACTGAAAATATCATCACTTGTTATGCCGTACTCTACTGCACCCGGAATTTCGGAATATTTCGGCCGCCCACCAACAGCAATTAAAATATTTTGTGCAGTTAAGGACCGTTCAGTTCCATTTTTCATCTTAGCTACAACTGTGTGCGGGTCTTTAAAGTAGCCCAATCCATTTATATACTCTACTTTTCTGTAATTTTTTTTTTGATATAAATAACAGAGATTTGCAGGGAATTATCTACTAATTTATACTCACTTATCTCGCAAATCCACACGTGTCACCCAATTTACAGATTTTATGTGATTTTGCACGGCTTGAACTAATTTACCCCAATCTGGTTTTATTTTTTCAGGCTCAGGAATTTGCCAGCCGTACGCAATAGATTCCTGTAAGTAAGCATATAGTCAGATTTTTTAAAATAATTAATAGATAAATAGTTTCGTACATGAACAGCTTCGCCTAAATGAGCAGCTTGATGCATCAGCTTTTTTGGAATGCAACCAACATTCACACATGTACCACCAAGACCCCACTTAGATCCAGCGGGAGAAGGTTTAACATAATCCAAACAGGCCACTCTTGCCCCCAAAGCCACCGCCTCTTTAGCACAGGCAAGACCACCTGATCCGCCACCAATAACAACTAAATCATAGTCGTAGTCATCTGTAAATAAGTATTATATAAATAATATACACCTGTATTCAACAATTTATATTGAGCTCGAGGCCGTTTTTAAAATGAAAATTTATTGTGGAAAAGCAACAATAATTTGAAAAAATGGTAGAAGTGATAGCTTTTATGCACCGTGCTAAGTACGCCATGTAAATTATCGTTTGCTTATTTCCACTATTTTCATTTTTGTTATGCCAACACAATCAAGCGCAGCTATTCCGCTGAAATTCACTTGATCACGCGGTTGTTGGTATTGTTGGTTTTTGCTAATAATTCTATTTTTAGAATGCTTAACTTTTAGGTGTGCCCGTCCTTAAGTTATTTGTTTTTGTTATTTTTTGGCCTTATAACAATTATATTCAACAATTTATATTGAGCTCGAGGCCGTTTTTTAAATGAAAATTTATTGTGGAAAAGCAACAATAATTTCAAAAAAATGGTAGAAG